TTGATTAGTATTTGAATATTAACATGAGGAGTTAAATAAGATTTTATGGAAGAATTTCGAAATTGAACTAAGGAGTGCAATTACGAATTTTTAGTGAAATAATTCGTAATTTATTATGGTAGAAATTAATTTTAAAATTCGAAATTAATTCCATAATAGGGAGCCTTGTTAATTAAATTCTATGGTCCCTATTGTGCCTACGTAATAGGAAATAAAGAAAACATTTCCTTTGTAGTAAAAGAAAACACAACAGGTTTTGGAAAAGGGTTTTACCCTAAAAAACGTGGCTATATATATCTCATATAGGGTTGGCCGTTTTTCAGCACACGTTTCTCTTGGAATTTCACCCACCCGAAATTCTCTCTTTCCGGATATTATTTAGGTAACACAATAGAAGACTGTGGAATGTTTTTCTGGAGGTCATAGTCTTGCTACTCTGGAACTGGAGACCGAGATTGATATGCTTTGTTCACGCTTCAAGAGGTAACTCGTATAATCTCCATATGTGCTAATTATTTAATTTACACGTGAATATGATACTGAAATTGCTTCCGCTGCGATATATAATCCAACAAGTTTTTCTAGTTGGATTTGTTCCCCTGTCGTCATTCAATTAGAATGGATAAGAGGCTCGTGGGATTGATGTGAGGGAGTAGGTATGCAGGGGCGGACCTAGAGCATTGACTACGGGTTTTCGGGAACTCAGTAACTTTTGCGTAGACCCTGTATTTATAATAAAAAATTCACTGAATATTTATAAATATCTAACTGTGAACCCGGATATTATTGCATATTAATTTGAAATTACGATAGGAACCGATAAGCCTCAAATTCTGGATCCGCCTCTGAGCTATGGCTATATTTATGGGAGCGAACTCTGAGCGAATATGAAGCGCATGGATATAAGTTATGCCTTGAAATAAAAGACAATTTCGAAGTCGCTTTGTCTACGAACAAGGACGCTATAAGTAATGCAACTATGAATCTCATGGAGAATTAGTAATGTTCACTCCTGGCTCAGGAATATACTTCCCTAGTGAGTTTTATCAAGGTTTGATGTCTAAGTTAGGCATCAAACAACAAACAAGTTAAAATTGCCACTACTTTCCTTCTAAAGCAGTCAAATGAATCACACACAAGCAATAAAGAACATGCACTAGATAAGTAGATATAGCAATAAGAGTACACAAAGTTTAATTTCTATTATAAACTAAAGATATAAGTTGCATCAAGATACAAGAAATATCAAAGAAAAGTATAATAGAAGAGAATTAAGACACTGGTATCTGAAGGCATGTAATCAAAGTCCAAGAAACCTTTTTAATCCAATAGAATGAACATTTCAGATCATCTAATAAAAAGCTCTGAATATTTCAGCCTTAGAAGCAATTTTTTCACTACTGAACTTTCATTAATCCAAAACTGAAGTCGCAACAAAGAATACACGCGTCAATCACATTGAATAATTTTCCGTCCAATTTAGCCATTGCACAAGCTGCTGTACATACGTAATAGTGTGTATTCTCTATAAAGAAACAATTTTTCGACGAGGAGGATATGCTTCACTGCCGTTGGTCAAGGCGTCTCACTTCCCTCCCTCCATTTTTTTCACTTTCCACAACTTCAATTTTCAACCTTTTTCATTCCCTTCCTTCACCCAATCATTCCCACAACACCCAAAATCATCTCCTTGACTTCTTGGACCACCTACTTCAACAATGCAGTCTTTATAATCTTAAACAACTGAAGCAAATCCATGCAAAGTTCATAATTACTGGTTCATCAAACTCTTCTTTTATAGCTGCCAGACTCATATCCGTTTACGCTAAATTTGGGATTCTCAATGAAGCCCAAAAAGTATTTGAAACCTGCCCAACTGAGTGTTTCTCGAATTTGCTGTTATGGAATTCGATCTTGAGGGCTAACGTATCTCATGGAAAATGTGAAAAGGTTGTAAAGCTTTATATTAAAATGTGTGAGTTTGGTAATTTGGCTGATGGGTTTGGTTTTCCGTTAATTATTAGGGCATGTGGTATGTTGGGTGACCATAATGTCTGCAGCATAGTGCATTGTCATGTTGTACAAATGGGTTTTCGAGATCATCTTCACGTTGGAAATGAATTGATGAACATGTATGGGAAGATCGGGCGAATGGAAATTGCACATAAAGTGTTTGATAGAATGACCGTGAGAACTCAAATATCATGGAACATTATTGTTTCGGGTTTTGCGCAGAACTTTGACTGTGATGCTGCATACAAGACGTTTCTGCGAATGGAGTCTGAGGGGTTTGAACCAAATTCTGTCACTTGGACATCGTTGTTATCGAGTTTTGCTAGGTGTAGACGTCATGAGGATACGTGGAAACTTTATGTTCTGATGAGAAAGAAAGAAGTTGAAGTTACTGCTGAGGCACTTGCTGTAGTGATATCAGTTTGTGTTAGTGACGATGTGATTGATAAGTGTGAGACCGTACATGGATATGTTATTAAGGGGGGCTTTGAAAATAATTCTATTGTGACAAACTCATTATTGTGTACGTACGGGAAAAGTGGTGCTGTGAAACAGGCTGAATGTCTGTTCTCTGGTTTGCAATTAAAGACCATAGTGACCTGGAATTCATTAGTATCTTGTTATGCAGAATCAGGTTTATGCAATGAGGCATATTCTTTATTTTTGCAGTTACAAGAGTTAAATGATCCAACGATGAAACCTAACGTCATAAGTTGGAGTGCTGTTATAGGGGCATTTGCTATGGTTGAGAGGCATGAGGAGTCTTTAGAAATCTTTCGAAGTATGCAAGTTGCTAGAGTTTTGGCCAATGATGTTACAATGTCGAGTGTTTTATCAGTCTGTGCAGAGCTTTCAAACTTCCGTCTTGGTATGGAAGTCCATGGTAATTCAGTACGGTTTCTAATGGACAAAAATTCTTTGGTGGGAAATGGGTTGGTTAATATGTACATGAAGTGTGGTAGTCTGCAGAAAGGGAACATAATATTTGAGGGAATAGGAAAAAAGGATTTAATTTCATGGAACACAATGATTTCTGGCTTTGGAATGCATGGACTTGGTGCTAATGCCCTAGAAACATTTGAACAGATGATTAACGCTGGAACTAAGCCAGATGAAGTTACTTTTGTTGCAGTTCTTTCTGCATGTGGCCATGCAGGCCTTGTTGACGAGGGGAATAAAGTTTTCGATCAGATAAAGAAAGTGTTTGGAATTGAACCACAAATGGAGCATTATGCTTGTATGGTAGATCTTCTTGGCCGTGCTGGGCTTTTGCAGCGGGCTAGTGAAATGGTGCAAAACATGCCAATGAGGCCCAATGTCTGTGTCTGGGGAGCACTACTTAACGCTTGTAGAATGCATAAAAACACAGAAGTTGCAGAAGAAACCGCTGCTCAGATTTTCAACCTTGAGTCCAAGATGACGGGGAGCTACATGTTGCTCTGTAATTTATATGCTGGAAATGGAAGGTGGAATGATTCAGCAAATGTGAGGATATCAGCAAAGACACAGGGTTTGAAAAAAGCTCCAGGACAAAGTTGGATTGAGGTGAAAAAGAAGGTTTATATGTTCTTAGCAGGGCAACCTATGGACTCGGGGATGGAAGATGTTCATATAATGCTTAATATTCTAAGCCTTCATATGGCTAAGGAAGAATTCATGGCCCAAAAGAGCTCTGCTTTACAATGTGCAGAAGAACAAGAATCTTATCTGTATTTGACATCATGAAGAATTCACTGTCCATGTTCAATGCTGGAAAACTACGATCTGATCTCTAAACCCACTCAAAGCCATTTGCAGAACTTATTTGAACAGCTGATCTCCCTTCCAGTCTTTCTATCTATATATTTCATGGGCCAACCATATACGAGTTTGCTGTGCAGTCACTTCATTGCTCAGGTATGTGCGATTTCACTTCCCAGAGAAAAAGGTGTCCGCATCTTGATATATCTTTTCTTACTACAATTTCGTTTTTGCTATTGTGAAGTCTCAATACATGTCTTAAAAGTAATAAATGTTCACTAATCTGCTGTATGAGCTCATGATAATTTGGGTCCAAATCGGATGAGCCTGCATGCTGGATGGGATTCGGTTGACTTTAGTACAAAAAGGATTAATTAGATTGAACCAATACATTTATGATTTAATATTTGATTTGCCCAGGCTCGAAATGCCATGTCACAAGGAGCTGATGAGCTTGCAGAAACTGGGAAATTATAAAAGGAGCAATGGCAAAACTTTGGCAGAAAGTCATTTATGGTTGCTGTAAGTATAACTGATTTCTTAGTTTCTTATACAAACTGGTAATTGGATGCCGTCGAAACTGAAGTCTCATTTATTTTAAGCTGCATATAAAGGAAATGGTGTTTTTCATGAGCTGGAAATGGTGAAAAATGATGAAGCTTGGCCTTCTTTGTACCTCGATTTTTCACAGACAAGGAAGAATGTGAAATTTGTATCAAAGGCAGTTGCTTCAGAATAGTGAATATACAGTACCACTAGCATTTGACTCATGAAACCTCAATCCTATCTGCAAGTAATTTCTTGGTTTGCGAATTTATCATCACATGCCTAAACTCATGCAACCTTTCTTTTCCAGTTTTTGTATCAAGGAATCAGAATAGTGAATGTACACCACCACTATCATTTGACTCATGCAGTCAGAAGTAAATAAGCAAATCTAGTTTCTTGTACTGCCAATTTATTGTCACATGTCTAAACTTATGAACCTTTGCTTTTCAGTAAAACCTTATGGATTGGAACTGCATGAACTTTACGATGAGTGAAGACCCCTGCAGACCAATTGGTAGCTAGTTTTGCATACCGATTGATTGTTTGGCACTTAAAAGAAAGGAAGAACAAAATATACACTGCTCATTGGGAGTTCGGGCAAAATTGTGAAGTCAGTCGACTCTTAAGAAATTTCCTCTTGCGGATCTCTCTACTACAAAAATTCAGCGAAGTACAGTTTTGTGAAGGTAAACAGAGTAGCAGCACCTTTAGATCTTGATCTTCGAGCATGTGGAAAGGATTCACTCTCTTCCTTCGATGGGACTATGTTCCCTTGTTGAATAGCTTCATCATTGTGCAATGAACAAGTGTCAAAACTATGTTCCAAATACTGAAAGAATTAAAGATAAAGGAGAGCAGCTCTTAATATGCCATAATCCTGTTCTCCTCTTGTTTTATTGTCTTTTCTTCTTAATGGCTACACTAGGGTTAATCGGGGATTATATGTTGAGTTGTTTTGAGTTTAAAATGGTTAAAAAACTAAAAAGCGACTCAGAATTTACGTTGTAGATCCTATAATTTTAAATAACATTTATATATTTTATAGTATATTACAATGCGAAGAAGTACTGTAGAAATGCATGAAGATCCACTCAATAAAACAATAATCTACTCTTTTTCCCTTTAACTGATCAAGCTATGGTAACAGACAAATGAAAATCAACGATTTATATGTTATCCAAATTCATCATTTGATCCTTGAGCTCATTTAAATGCTTAAACTCGAGATAAAATAATCAAAGCACGGATGTTCTTAGAAACATCAACATACGTATCTGAAGGGGAAAAAGAATAAAAAACAAAATGCATGTAATTACTAACCTGTGTTGATCAAAGGCTTGGTCATGTTCGAAACTTAGGCCTTCTTCTCCAAAACCTGAAATCCCCTCCAGAATAGGCTTAATATTGTCACATTGGTCATAAACAGAAAGCTGCTTCATCAAAGAATTAGGCGCCGATGTAGACGTGGATTCTTGTTCGTGCAAGCTCCAAGGGAAGTTAATATCTGCTAAATCTAATTGGCCATCTTGAATTTCATCATATTGCTGATCATCTTCACCTTTCTGACAACTAGTATGATTATAATAACTATGAGGATGGTAGTCTACAGTCTGTTGATCATACGAAGATGCATTATTATTCACCAATGGATCTGCCTGATTCACGACACCATCACAATTATTATCATTGAATGATTCCTCAGTTGCATGATGATCTGCTAATATCTGTTGTTCTGAGGCAGCAGCAGCAACAGCCTGTGCTCTGCAGTAGGCGAGTTGATGAAGAACGATATCCAACTCTGCTTTGCAATAATCAATGTGGCGTTGCAGGTCTCGAATGATACGATAACAACCACCAACAGGGTCATTGGCACGAACGTCGGATTGGAAGATGATGGTGCGCATGGCTTCGTCTTTTAGAGGTTGATCAAGGTGGCGAATGATCTTGGTAATGTTGCTGACCCCAAACAATTTATGTGCGTTGAGGAATTGGCGTTGGCGATCGTGAGGAAAATAAGGGGCAAGAACGCAGTCCGGGGCACACTTCCGACGTTGATATTTGCACGCAGCACAAGCTTGGCCTGCACCGTTGACACGAAGAAGAACGTTCTTGTTATTGTTGTTGTTGTTATTGTTAACGCGCTTAGTACTATAGTTATGATTAAGATTATTAGCAGTGGTGAATGTTGTATGAATAGTGTGGGGGTGATTAGGAATGGGGGTGCTAATGGTGGTCATTTGATTCTGCATATTGTAATTATTATTATAAGTTTTTGATTTGTTTTGCAAGGAGATTTGTGCTGCGTCTCCGGCGGGGATGGAGAAAGAGGATTAGATAGAGAGCTTTCTTTTGAGTTCCTCCCTTCTTTTCTCCTTGCTAATGTAACCAACTTACACCAAATGAGAGGTTCACAAAGCTTCTTTATATTGACATAAACAAACATGTATAGTGATTTGATCTCTCTCTTTCTCTCTATACGCCTACACACGATATTGTAATTTAGTATCCTATAATAATGGTTAAAATGCTTTGATAAATAATGAAAGGTTAAAGTGGCTGTGGTTTTTTCTTAATTAACAAAACGAAGAAAAAAACAAAGTGAAAAGGGAAGCTTTCTTGTGGAAATGTGAATATCTATATAATAAATGTTTCTTCCGACTTCCAAGAGCAATTTATTTGTGGTACCTGAGGTAATATAATTTTTTGTCCCTATTTTTATTAGATATACATATAATACCCTAATTCTAATGGAGTAAACATATTCACAAGCAGAACACCGTGAAGTTATGTGTGGCTTTATTGAAGGTTAGATGACTGCTCATTTCTTCTTCAACTTGGAAAGAAAAAAAATTCATATTACATTGATGTAAAAATGCGCCNCTTCATTTCAACATGTAAGATAGGATTTATTTCCTTTTGATAGTTGTTATCTAAACTGGAACTATCTTGATTAGTTCAAAAGAATATTCATTGAATACTAAACGCTCAAGAAACAATAAACGTTCCTACTTTATCGTTTCTAAAACTTTTGTGTTGATGCTTAAACTAGTAATATTCATGAGAGATAGTCGAAGTAGTTAAAACTAACAAAAAGAATGAACTTAATATAAACAAGAAATACATACAATGTATAGCGACGATACGTATTGTATGAGTTGGTGTTCTGCCATGTTGACTTTCCTTTTATAAAGGGATTCATCTTTTATATTGCTGGAGACTCTAGGATTACTTCGGATTGATATATGACAAAAAAATGCTAATTGTGGATAGACAATTGTAAATGGTAATTGTCTATCCACAACTAGCATTTTGTGTCATATATATATATATATATATATAAACATTTGATCGTAAACCCAATCAATTATACTAAGGTAGTCATTTTTCTCGTTTGTGATAGGTAATTGATTGACATTAGTGAGACCATTTGTTAATAGAATAAAGAATATGTATGTGTTACGTGGTTAAATTTTTTTAAAAAAATATCAAAAACGCTTAATGGTATGACGCATGAATTATTCGTACTCAGACCATCACTTAAGTGCAAATAAATGAGGGCTTACACCAACTTCAATTAGACACTTGGGGAAGTTTACGACCAGGTGGGACATTTATATGTACTCATGAATAGACAACTAGAGAGAAATGTTTTTTTTTTTTGAATATAATATTTTTTTCATACTGATTACATTAAAGAGAAATGCTACACTGCATATAAGAAAGGTTAAAATCTAGCGTGTCTACAGCCACGAGGGAAAGAGAGGCGCTGAGCGAGGTGTTCGTAAGACGTTTTACACTTGTGGTTTTACATTCAATTCATGTTGTCCCCAATTCCCAAACTCCCCAAAAGAAAAAGTATACACAATTAATTGATCATTACACATACTAAAATTTTGGCTGAAGAAAAAAGGAGGTGTAATCTTTAAGAGTTTGGAAATTATTCAATATTGAAGGCTTAGGTTTGGATCATTTCTCAACTGCTCTAATTACATAAAAATCAATATTACCTATCTTTATGATCTATGATCAAGCAAAATATACTTATATGTTTTCAAGAAAATGTTATTCTTGAGTAGCTTTTGCAAGTATTCACGTTCATGTTGAAATTGTTATTCCATCCCATGGCATCTGGCAAGTGTCATTTCATATATGAAATTGGATAATTCATGTAGTAGAGGGAAAGAAAAAAAAATACTGAGCTTACAGAAACTAACCACAATATTATTACGTGCAAATATTTCTAGGAATGTCTTTTTAACTTTCTTTGTTACTTTAACAAGATCAATGTTTTGTTTTCTGATTTTGATTTGAGCTTTAATAATCTGCTCTGTTTCATATAGGAAGACAAATAAATATGGAGGTAAAACCAGCAGTTCCCGTGAGGGCCATCCTTGTTGGAGGAATTGCTGCATTTGCAAAAATAGGCGGTGCTGTTAAAGCTGCTGGAGGTATAAAAGTAGGTGCAGCTGCAGCAACTGCTGCCATTTCAGGATCCAAGCAACAAGCAAAAACTGCTTCTCAGCACTCATCAAAATGATGCTCTCTCTGAAGAATGGTGTAGAGCTAGTGATTCCCATTTCAGCTAGTGATCCTTTTCTTTCAATATAATGTATTTCAGTAAAAATTATAAGTTATAGAATAGTGATGTTACTAGTTGGATAGTATACAGTTTTTGTCATCACTTTGTTTTATAGTACACTGGGAATCAGGGAATGTATTCTGGCCTATGAATAAAGAATATTTGTGGCTTTACTGCAACTATCTGGTTCTATAAATTATGATGGTGCATCCAGAAGGTGTAAGTTTAAGGTTGAAACTCTACCCACTGCCTGAGTAACCATCAAACATTTTTGACCGAAAGCCAAGGTCCTAACAAATTAGAACAAGTAATTTCTAACGGGTGAAGAACTAAAACATGGTCTGATCAATATGTAACCAGACGCATTATTTTTTGCTCACAATGATTCAACATCAACTCAACTCATTCAAGATCTCCACCCACATTTTGGGCGAGAAAGCTGTGTTTCTCCACGGTAAAATAATATTACTGCGTTGGAAGTTAAGAGTACAAACTATTCACACACATGATACACTCGACCACCAAAAGATGCTTGGTCCAAAGTCAGATGCTCCACCTTTCCATTGTTTCCGGTACACATCCTCGTGCTGTTTAGAAACCGACGCATGGACACAGTGTTAGCTACTAAGATGATAATCAAACATCCCAGGTTTGGCAAATACATGATGATGTCAGATTTGATGCACTTTTGAATTTGTGGAACCACATGTGAAATCTGGATGGTCAACTGAGGTCACAAACAACTCAGCATTTGGAACCTCTAACTCAAGAATGACCTAGATGTAAGACAAGAAATGTACTTGCATGAGAACTATTCAAGGTTTATTCATCTAACAACATCTAAAAGATAGAGGACCCTGAAGAAATTAGTGTAATTAGTCTAAAATAATAATGTCGGGAAACAACGCAGGTTCAATCTGGAAACTCAATTTGCTTCCCGCAGAAAAAAATCCAATAATAAACTACTATCTACCACCAAATTCTTCCTTTAATACGAGATAGAAAGAAGAAACGCATGATAAATACCATAACTTCTCAATGACATACCAAGAGGTTTTTCCCTTTGTGCAGGAATGGAGCGGGAACATAAAGGTTACACTGTGGCCCAAAGGACTGCAAAGAGCCAAATAGAAAATTCCATTGAGAAATGAAAGAATTTCAGGATTTTATTATCTGACCACTAAAAAGAAATACCTACAGAAATAAAAAAAGCAAATTTTACCGGCCAAAATCGTCCTATATTATATCCATTGATAAATGCAACCCCTTTACTCCAGCCACGAAATGACAAAAAAGTGTCTTTCACTTCATCAACTGTAAGATGACCAGCGTAGAAAGCTGGCTCTGGATGATAATCTGCGAAAGAATGAATAGTGTCATTATCCCCTATATTCTTGCACTCTGATGAATCAACCAACTGTATGACCACTTGCACACACAGTTTTATTACTGAATCCAAACTTACTTATTCTATTTTTCAGATTCTTCCGCACAGAACTTCCAAGGTTGGTGTATGCATCTGAAATAACAGAATTAATCTGTTGATCCTCATTCAGGTTGTGAAAAGGAATAGGCAACATTTTCCACTTATGCAGCGGCTCGCCATCTAAATAAACAGGAGACAGTATACCCTGCAAAGCAAGTACACAGTTTACACCATTGTGATTGAGGAAGAAGACAGAAAAGAGGAGAGGAAACCAAAAAAGGAGAAGGGAAAAAACAATTTAAAACTAATAAATGACAGGAAAATGTGCTGAGGTAGATCAAGTGAACCTATAGAGGAATGGCAAAAACACTACATTATTCTTGTAAAGTATATGGTTTTATATAGTCTCACATTAGTTGAGACTTGAGAGTATGAACTGCAATATCCTTATATGATCTTGGACAATTCTCGCCTCACGAGCTACCCCTTAGGGGTTGAGTTATACTTCTACCCAGGTCCATTTTCTTAACATGGTACCGAAGCCAGGATCCATTCCTAACAATGGGTTACTCAATGTTGAGCTCCTATGTTATGTCATCCACACTCTAGATGTCCAACCTGGACGTACAGGGGGTTAAGAGTCCAACATTTGTTGAGGTATGGTTATAATCTCGTTATATGGTCTTGGACAATTCTCACCTCATGAGTTAGATTATTGAGTCAAGTTAAATCCAAGGTCAATTTTTCCAAGATTCTATTAGTTCGAGATCAAATTCTTGCTAGTCTAACTAATCTTACCTTTGAAGAAGTATCTACCAGACTTTTATCCATCTTTTCTCTACCTGAGGTAACATCTCACAAGACTTTTATGATGACTATTCAGTCTAAAGACTTTCATTTATGCAGACGTACACAAGTTTAGAACTGCTTCCCAGAATTCATGTGTAAAATGTGCCCGCAATACCTCAGAGGACAACAGAAGTTAATGCAGATCAACTCTTAACTTACCTTCTTGTCAAAAATATATTGCCCATAGTTTATACGCCCCATATTTTCTACCTGTAAAACAAAAATAATCATAAGTTAGAAAGATGAGATTTACTTTCATCATTCATGAGTAGCAAACTGAAAAGTGTACAAACTACTGGATATGGCAATTCCTATTAAGAATGATACGGTTAGTGCATTTTCTTTTTTCCTTTTTCCTTTTCGGAGAAATGCCCGTCACAGAGACTATGCAGTTGCTCCTTTTCGTTTGAGTTCTCTTCCTGTATAGTTGAACAGTAAACATTATCATTCCATGTTATGGACCAAACATTTCCTCTTTTCTTTTTTCTCATTCCCCAACTCCTACACCCAGCCTCTACCCTCTCTTGTTTCTTCTTGTTCTTTTCATTGCTTCATCTCCCCTTCCCCTCTTCCTCCTT